ACCTTGCCTCACCTATTTAGTGAATTTTTAATGAGTGTCTATAGGACAAAACATGATTCTAGATTCCATAAAGGATGTAAAGATGAAGCAAATTAGCAACCTGCCCTCAAGGACTGTGAGGAACTTATAGCCAGAGAAGAATGTAAATCATCCATAAAAGTAATAGTATAATTGTTTCATGTCATAAGGAAAAGGGAAATATGGCCGGGCATGGTGGCTTATGCCTATAATCCTAGCACTCTTGGAGGCCCAGGCAGGCCAATTGCCTGAGCTTAGGAGTTCAAGACCAGCCTGAACTAGAGTGAGATCCTGTCTATTAAAAAAAAAAAAAAAAAAGCTGGGTATTGTGGCAGGTGCCTATAGTCCCAGCTAATAGGGATGTTGAGGCAAGAGGATCCATTAAGCCCAAGAGTTTGAGGTTGTTGTGAGCTATGAAACCATGGCACTCTGCCTAGGGTGACAAAGTGAGACTCTGCAACTTTTTTTTTTTTTTTTTGTAGTTTTTGTCCGGGGCTGGGTTTGAACCCACCACCTCCGGCATATGGGGCTGGTGCCCTACCCTTTTGAGCCACAGGTGCCACCCACAAAGTGAGACTCTGTCTCAGAAAAAATAAATAAATAAAAAGAAGAAAGAAAAAGGAAAATATGTTGACTTACGATCTATGATGTGTCAGGCAATGTGTTCTGTCATCTTGCATATGACAACTCGTCAGATCCTTGGAACAACTCGTGAGATGGATTTTAGTAGAAATGGGAAAAACTCATTAGTAACTGAAGACATTATTGGGGAACCTGGACGCAAAGTAATTCAGTTTGCACAGTGTGGGCCTATGAAGAAGAGGTGAAAAAAAGTTCAGAAAGGTAAGTTGGATGCCAGTCCAGAAGGTCTGGGGTTTGGTCCTTTGTAGAAGGGGGTCATTCAAGTGTTTTTTTGTTTGTTTGGTTTGTTCGTTTGTTTTGAGACAGAGTCTCACTATGTCGCCCTGGGTAGAGTTCCAGGGTGTCTCAGCTCACAGCAACCTCAAACTCTTGGGCTTAAGCAATTCTCTTGCCTCAGTCTCCCAAGCAGCTGGGACTACAGGTGCCCACCACAATGCCCATCTATTGTTTGTCAAAGTTGTCATTGTTGTTTACCTGTCCTGGGATGGTTCCAACCCACCGCCTTCGGTGTATGTGGCTGGCGCCCTAACCACTGTGTTACAGGTGTGGAGACCATTCAAGTGTTTTGAATGGCATCAGGAGAGATTGGGCTGTGCTGTAGAGAGTCTGGGAGACTGTAAAGACCAGACAGGCAAAGGACAGGAGCTGAGTCTGGGGAGCCTTACCTGGTCTGCATCTAAACAAACCAAGCACGGAATGTCGGAATGTCGTCCCCATACCTGCACAAGTTTGGGGATGGGGAACAAAAAGTCAGCTTGTTGTCTGTTACTCCAGAGGGCAGAGGCGAAAGTGTGTAAATTACAGGCAATCGCTGCTTTAAACAGAGAAAGAAAAAAATAGCTTTGTAGTCAAATAGACCTCATTTTTGATCCCAGTTCTGGTCTTCAGGAGCAATTTATTTACCAGCCTTGCAGAGCCTTTGATTCCTTCTGTTAAAATGGTGTTACTCTCACTCACCTCACAGGATGTTTGTGAAGAGAAAAGACACAGGACAGAGGTCTTTAGGGCCGGGCGGGAAAGTTAGTAAAGCAAGATCCAGATCCAGAGTAGAAAGATCTTCAGTGGTGGGCTGCTTCCTTTGCTTGTATGCCCCTTGTCGCTGGGTAAGTTCAAGAAGCTGCCTGTCAGGGATGGTGTACCGGGGTCCTGGCACCCTAATAGGTGGTTGCATCAGATGACCTTTAGGGTCAATTTTAAGTTCTACTTTTGTTATTCTCTGCAGCTTCCCTCCTGCCCTCCAGTCGTGATAGTATCTGGAAAAATTCATAGGTATTAAGGTAAGGCTGATTATAGGAATAACTAGGCAGAAAATGGGTATCTAATTAGTGTTGAAACCACAAGAGTCATAATTGTGCATTTCTAGTAAGCCAGCTTGGATCCAGGTAGTGGGCAACTTCTGGGTACCCTCTCTTTCTTTTGCTACCATACCCAGATCCTTTAGAGTTTCCTCGAAATACTCAGAGCCAGTGGTTTTGCAATGTTTATTTAAGTGTTTGATTGTCTTTAAAAAGTATTGTGGTGAAGCCTAAAGATAAGAGTTATAACTCTGGTGAAAGGGAGGGGTGAAGGAGCCTGAAATCTCATCCACTGGTTCCTTCCTCACCCACTCTGCCTGATGGTTGGTTTGAATACTATTGCTCCAGACCTGGCCTGTTTTCAGTTTTCCTTTTGAGTCCTTTGTTTTCTGGATTCTGGTGGCAGCTGTTATCACTCCAGCTGCAGAGGGATGGGAGGCAACTTCCTGTTATTCTATCCTGCCATCCCTGCGGTGGTGGGACCTTCCCTCCCCCATCTCCTGTGGCTGGCTGTAGTTGGGGAAGAATGTGAGCCTGGATGCAGCTATCCTATGAGTAGGGCTGGAGGAATGGCTGGTAGCCACACAGCCACTGTTTGAAGGCATTTAGGGAGAAATGCAGGCAACAGGCATTGAGAGACCAGTATGTCCCTGAGAGAGGGGGATGGATGAGTAGCTCAGAGAGGTTAAGTTTTTGATCCAGAAGTTATATGAGGGAGGTAGGGGGGAGACTGGCGAGTAGGGGAAGGGAAGGGCTCTGATCAAAGCGTAAAAAGAGAGAAAAAAAGAACAAGAAGAGGTCATTGAAGTTTTGGGGTGAGAGATTACTTGGGGGTAGAGTGCATTTAAGGAATGGAAAGAGAATGGAAGCTATATGATGATCCATTTTCTGGCACCCTACATATTTATTCGACCTTTTTCTTGAGTTGGGTTTGGGTATAAAAAATAACAACAACAGGGATATTAAGCATGAAACCTGCTCTTTAGAGTGTGGGAAGGCAGGAAAAGTATTTAACTGGACACAAATAACCACGTTTCCACATTTGTACAGCCTCAATTTACAACAGCCTTACAATTTGTACAGCCTTACAACAGCCTCATTTTAGAGAAAGAGGTAACTACGGTTGTGTGGATGGATGTTTTAGTGACTTGCTCAAAGCTGGGCCAAGAACAAGTCCTTTTTCTATCTGCTGTAGCACACAGCTTAGTCTTGGCAGAGGACAAGGACTTTAATTAGGCTTTGAGAGAAGGGTGGGACTTAACACACAGGAGAGTGGGGATTCCAGTTGGACAGAAAGGTGAGAGCCAAGAGCTCTGTGAGTAGACCTGTTTGACTACAGCACCAGGGTTCCCAGGAGTGAAGTGAGATAAGGTGGGGAAGGTTAAATAGCCAGGTTAGGGAGAGAGTTTTAAGCAGCTAGAAAAAGTGCAGGGAAAGAGGGACCTGATATAGAGGGGAAGATGTTGATGACAAAGCCAAACATTGTTTTAGAAAACTTATCTGGTACTGGTGCAGAGGATGAAATAGACCTGGGGGACATTGGAGTCAGAAATTCAAGTTAGGAGTGTGGAATGGTGTAGATGCGACAAGTTACCACAGTAGGGTAATAATATAAAACAGGTCCATGAGGGCAGTGGCCGGAGCCTGTGGGTTCTTTCTTTTCTTTCCTTCCTTTTCTTCCTTCCTTCTTTCTTTCTTCTTCTTCTTCTTTTTTTTAATATTATGGTATTTGAAAGAGTGTAGATTATAGATCCTTCGGATATGGAAGGAGTAAAATGCCTTTGGAGTCAAATAGACTTCGGTTTCAATCCCACTTCTGGGTGATCTAGAGTAATTTACTTACCATAGGCTTTGCTAAGCCTTTGAGCCCTTATGTTAAAATTGGGCTAATAACAATTTACAGGATGGTTGTGAGGATTAAACTAGATGCAATGCTGAACTCTGCATCCTTCTACAATTTTTGGCAGAACAGTGAAATGTATGATATGTCATAAATCCAAAAGCAAACAATAAAAACCAACAGAAAGTTAATGATCAATTCATTGTTTTTTCTAGAAGATGATGGTTAACATGCTACCTATGGAAATAAAGCTGGTTTTCACCACTCAGTTCTGCCTTGGATCAGATATCGGGTAAATTCAAATAACCATCTTTTGAAAATCTTTCTTTTCTGTCACTCAGAGGGACTATACAGCAAAATATCTGTCAAGGGTAAATGTTAGTTAATTTTTAATCGATTGCTCACTTACTGCAATTGGTTCTATTCGACAGTAATTATTCTTATGTGGTTTGCTAACTTGGTAGTGGAGTCTCCCCCATCTCCTTTCAGTTACGCTTTAGAGTCCTTAAAGAGGTAAACAGCAATTTTTCTTGCTCCAGAGATTCAGTTTTATTTGCTTGGGAAGCTTGTGTGGTGTGATGTTCATCGCTAAAAGCAGAAGCAGCCACAAGGTTGATAACGCCACCAGTTAACAATTCAGAGCTGGGTCTCCCTTTCTAGGCTTCTCTTCCAAATCTTTGAGGAGTGCTTTTGGAGTTCTAAATTCCCTCCCCAAGGGAACACCCAGCGGTCCCAGGAGAAAGGGGCAGAAGGGTGAGCTGACGTTTTCCTTTATTTGCATGGCTTAAAGCTAGCCATTTTCTGCACCACGCGCCGTCGGGCTCGGACTTGCCCGTGACACGGAGGCAATTGTTGTTCATTAAACAGGAGGTTGCGGGGGTTACTTTCATTTCTGATCCGGAATCTATACCAAATACATCAGGAAAAGTTAAAAACGCCCGATCCGCTAGGTTCTCTCCCATCGCATTATCTCCCCTCTTCAGAGATAGCAGGAAAGGCAGCATTTTTTTCCATCAACACCCACTTCCAGTCCTGGGCTGGCTCAGCGAGGAATGTGTAAAATTAGTTGACTCCGGTGAGTGACTCGGGCCGGGCCCAATGGGCGGGCGCGCAGTCGCGGCCGGCCCCGCCCCCTTGCCGCCTCTCTTTGGCTAATTCCTGCAGGGAGGGAGGAGAGAAGGGGCGGCGGGAGGGGAGGTACCTGGGACTGGGAGTGATGTCAGCTCCCGGCGCGGTGTCTGCTCGGATTCCTGACATGGTGTAGGGCGGGCAGGGTGGGGAAGGCGGCGAGTGGACCTGAGTGCGGCGGGGCGGGCCAGCTGGGGCTTTCGGCTCCGGGGCGAGGAGGACCAGAACTTTTGAACTAGTGCGGGCGGCTCGCCACCCCCCAGGTAAGGGCGTTTCGCTCCGCTCGGAGCCCGGAGGGAAGTAGCACCGTTGTGTGGTTGCAGCTGGGTGTTGCGGCTGCTCCTCCGCTTTCCTGGTGGATTTCCTTTTCCAACTCGGGTTTCCCGGTGGGAACCGGCACTTTTTGGGGCGTGGAGGGTGGGGGTAGGGCTTAAACTCCCGGGGCTCCGAACTACCTTAAATGAGAAAACCACCTCCAGGATTGCACGTTTGGACATGTAAGATTTCGTCCGTGTTCTTAGACCCCCACACCCTAGACTCCCAGTAATACTTCCAACCAGAGGGGTGTGTGTGTGTGTGTGTGTGTGTGTGTGTAGGGCGTGATTTTAAAATGCCACAATTTTTTTTTTAATGAATCATTGACTCAAAAATCATGCACTTTGAAAGATAAAAAGTTCTGTATTTTAAAAGCCCCCCATGGCCTATGATGCATTCAGTAAAAGAGCATCAGCGTTATTCTTATAAATCAACACGTCAAACATCCCTTTATATAGTCCAGTCAGAATGTGAGAAATTCAATAGGGGTGTATTAATTATAAGCTTGTGAGAAAACTGGTCTCTTGGGGGCACACTTTCAAAACGCCAACTCTTAATTCACTCTTGACGGAGATCCCTTTTATAATAGCTGCCAACTTTGTGATCTGGAGGGGTTAGGTTAGGAGTCTGCTGGGAATCTCCAGATCTGTTTCCTGCGGCTGCTAGAAGGGGCTGCTGGTGGTGGTGTTCGGGGATCATTTTCAGAGCGGAGAGTTTTAACTGGGAAATGTGGTGAAAGGCGTGGCATACAAACTCTTAATTACAAGGACGTGAATTTTTCAACATGTGGGACCAAAACAAATCCTTGCTTTCAGTAAGAACTGCAGAGAGTGACAGAGAGAGAACTTAAAAGACTAAGTTAGGTATTTAAAGAAAGCGGTTGCCTGTTGGGAGGATGAAAAGTGAAAGAATATGATTCTGATTTTTGTTTATTTCCTGTTTCAAACCTTTTCCTTTTTCCTGCTTGGGGAGTTTGTGTGCTCAGGTCCCTAACTGGGTGTGATTGACTTTCTGGGGAAAAAATTAACTCCCTAGCTGATTCAGAACTCTTGCTTATCAGAGCTTAAGGCAGTTCCCCCTTTATTTCACCTCCAAGTTCCTTTTCAGCAGTGAGGATCCTCCTGCTGCTAGGTCTGTAGGAAATGGCTAGTGGACTTCATGGTGAGTCAAAGCCTATGTCCCAGACCTGAATGAAAGGGCATTTCCAGGAGATGGGGAAAGAAAGAAACCATAACATTACGTGTAATAAACCCAACCAAATCAGGAAACGTGGTGGAGGACTTTATAGATGGAATTCTTGCCAGAGCTAGAAAGAAATTTTTGTTTTGCTCTTGCTCATTTAACACCTGGGTCTGTATTGTTTTTAATCCCTGAAAATAATGAAATAACACAGGGTGGATAAAGAGCAGTGCTTTACAGGAAAGACCAGAATATCTTAATTTTGGTTTGTGTTTTGGACTGTGGTACAGAATGCCTCTGTGATAATAATGGTGAGCCAGTCTTTTCTGTATATGTTCTGCTGGAAGGGGAAGTACGTGGAACACAGTTTATTTTCCAGTGTACTTTGCAGGAAGAGATCTGGAATTCCAGTGGGCTTGCTGTAGCCTAGGCTGATAGCTGTTCCTACTGCAACTTGTAATACCAAAAGATGGAGCTGCAGAACCAGATGGTTAAGGTTAATTATCTTTAGGATGTTATCCTGATGTCTTAGATTCAGATTCGTACTTTCTTTCTAAGAAACGAGTCCTAGCTTAGGGTCTGGAATGTACCAAAGCTCTAACTTTAATTCACAGTTTAAGCAATAGCCGTCATTTTAAATATCTTGTTTGAACCAATATTCCTCTTGGTCCTTGTTTATGAGGCAGTTGTGCTGTAGTAAAACATGATACTTTTAAAGAACAACACTTAAGATGTTTGAGTCATTGAGAAAAGTAGGATCAGGTTATGGCTAAATTATTATTTTTATTATTTTTTGAGATAGAGTCTCACTTTGTTGCTCTTGGTAAAGTGCTGTGGCATCATAGCTCACAGCAACTTCAAACTCTTGCCTCAACCTCCTGAGTATCTGGGACTACAGGTGTTTGCCACAACACCCAGCTAATTTTAAGACAGGGATCTTGCTCTTGCTCAGGCCGGTCTCAAACTCTTGAGCTCAAGCATTCCACCTACCTTGGCCTTCCAGAGTGGCGGTTGAATTTTTTTGACCAACAACTATCATACTTTCGTGCTTCTAGTAGCTACTTTAAAAATTAGGGTCATCTGGCCTTCATGGACAAATGTTGACTTGAAATCCAAGACACACCGTTGTTCTAAATCAATAGTGCCTAACTTCAAAGGTGTCACAGACATTTCTTAGGAACAAGTTTATCTAGGAAGAGTTAGTTCACTGTTTATCTAGTGTTTTGTCACTCGATGTACCATGAGATAAATCAGATCAAGGTCTGTTTTCTCTCAATTAGCTGACCTCTTTTAAAACCTGTTTTTCATATTCTTTTTTAATTTATTTTTTATTTTTACATATACATGTGTTTATTAGGTTTCCACTTTCTGCCTTCAAAAATTAAAAAGGCTTAAAATTTAACAACAATAACAATGTTTGAGATAAGGACTAGAAACAAAAACCTCGTAAAGAATGAACGAAGATAGGCTCGGTGCCTGTGGCTCAAGCGGCTAAGGCGCCAGCCACATACACCTAAGGTGGCGGGTTCGAATCCCCAGCCCGGACCCGCCAAACAACAATGATGGCTGCAACCAAAAAAAAAAAAAAAAAATGGCCGGGCATTGTGGCGGGCGCCTGTAGTCCCAGCTACTTGGGAGGCTGAGGCAGGAGACTCTCTTGAGCCCAGGAGTTGGAGGTTGCTGTGAGCTGTGATGCCATGGCACTCTACCCAGGGGGATAGCTTGAGGCTCTGTCTTAAAAAAAAAAAAAAAAAAGAATGAACGAAGATAAATACATTCAGAAAAGAAATCAGATGATTGCTGCAATGAAGTATTACACAATAATAATAATAGTAATGCAAAGAAAGTAATATTCACATTGTCAAATAAGAGTATGTCTATTATAGAATGCTTTGACTCTGAGGTTCAGTATGGAGTCATTAATTAACTGCTTCTTATTTTTTCCAAAGTCAAAAAATAGACAACTAATATTTATAAATAAAAATAAAAGATAATTTGAAAAAACAGAGCCAAATCTTACTGACAATAGAAAAAAAAGAAACACTTCAAAATCATTCTTCTTAATCTGGATATGCCTGATATTAAAATTGGAAAAAATATATTATTATAAAGGGGAAATTACAAACATAATTCACTTTTAAATGAGGATGCAGTATCCTGTATCCTAAACAACATATTAACACGTTGAAGTAAAAATTAATGTTTAAGTAATGTATGTTACAATCAAATCCAATTTATGTGAGAATTAGTCACTATTTTTTTTCTTTTCCTTACCCTCACCTCCTCCCTCCTTCTCTGTCTGCTCTCCCCTTCCCCCATGCCCCACCATTTCATTAATTGTCACTAATTGTCCTCATATCAAAGTTGAATACATAGGATTTATACTTCTCCATTCCTGTGATGCTTCACTAAGGATAATGTGTTCCACCTCCATCCAGGTTAGTATAAATGCTGCGAAATCTCCATTTTTTTTTTAATGGCTGAATAATATTCCATGGTATACATATACCACAGCTTACCAGTCCATTTCTGGGTCTAAGGGCATTTAGGCTGTTTCCACATTTTAGCGATTGTAAATTGGGCTGCAATAAACAGCCTAGTACAAGTATCTTTATAATAGAAGGTTTTTTTCCTTCTGGATAGATGCCCAGTAATGGGATTGCAGGATCAAATGGGAGGTCTAGGTTGAGTTCTTTGAGGTTTCTCCATACTTCTTTCCAAAAAGGTTGTATTAGTTTGCAGTCCCACCAGCAGTGTAAAAGTGTTCCCTTTTCTCCACATCTGTGCCAGCATCTGCAGTTTTGAGATTTTGTGATATTGGCCATTCTTGCTGGGGTTAGATGATATCTCAGGGTGGTTTTAATTTGCATTTCTCTAATAATTAGGGATGATGAGCATAATATTCTTGAATATTTTTATTTTTGTAAATTAATTTAGATTATATCAATAATTGGTTACATTAAAGTTAACTTTTTGAGCTTTTCATCTCCCATATTTAAAAGTACCTATATTTCAAACAGCCAGATTTTCAAACTTTAACTGAAAGAAGACCTCTTCCTGCATTCTACCTTTTCTTTCTTTTTTTTTCATTTTTTTTCCATTCTATCTTTTCAAAGGCATTATTACATGCCTCTGGCCTGGTCCGAATGTCACTGAAGGAGTGAATTAATGAATGCATATTCATTCGTGTTTGAGTTCATGTCTTGATTCTTTATTAAAGAAATGTCACTTGGCTCGGCGCCTATAGCTCAGCCGGCTAAGGCGCCAG